AAACTCCAAGACTGGGGAGTGCGAAGGAAGCCTGTGTTTCTGCTTACTGGGGAAGCAAGAGTAGGGGTCTCAGCAATAGCCTGAGATGGAGAGGACACACTCAGCAGGCCCAGATGACATCCACTCCCACATCTATCAAAAACCAACCAGCATTGTGTTAATCCACCCCACCTCTACCTAAATTATGAGGCAAGAGTGCAGAGGTAGAGGGAGGAGCAGACGGGTGTGTAGAAAACCAGCCTGCAGCCTGAAAACCAGCAGAAAGGTGAACTGGAAGACTGGGAGAGCAGCCAAGAACCCATCAGGCTGTTCCCTGCAGTGAGGGCAAAGCCAGCTGGGGCTGAGGGCAGGAACCTGCCTGAGCTGCTGCCGCCTGCTCTTCTGCTAGGGTAGGTAAGCTGCTGAAAGGGAAGCAGGGGCCGGGGAACCCTCAAGGTGAGATGGGCAGCCAGGCAGCAGGAGATGGGCAAGTCTTGTTTATGCTGATGCAGGTTGAGGGCAGCAGAGAGCTGCAGCATGGCCTGAACTAGGAAAGCGCTTTGAGAGACCAGGAGGGTTGGTTGGGCGGCAAGAGCTGGGCTGAAGGTTCTGGTACCTCCCTGGAGAATTGTTTTCAGAAGGCCCTAGCACTTTGAAGGCCATTACCCTTGGAGATTGTCATGCAAAGACTGGTGAAAGAGCCTAACAGATGGGTAGCGTAGGACAGTATCCAGCAAGGAGCCTCCTTCTGCCATGACCCTGCCTCCATCACTCTGCCAGCACTGATCCAGCCAGTCGGCGCTGCAGGACCAGCTCAGGGACACCCAACGTTCCTTCAGACTGTGACCTTGGACAAGGCTGCTGTGAGGAACACCAGCAACCACTGCAGCTGACAGGAAGCTGGCGCAGGAAGTTGATGTAACCAGCTAAAACTATTTCTGCCAGTGCTACCCCAAGGACCACTCACTCCCAGCAAGGGGAAGTGGTGGAGGAGAGGAAGATAGGGACATGAGAAAGCAGGCTCTCTGGGAAGCAGAGATAGATGGGACTGCCAGCAAACACGTGGACCTTGCACAGCAACGAATGGCAAAGACCACAGGCTGATTTGTCCCCTCAGTGGGCTCCAGACAACGCTGTGCTGCAGGTCGCAAAAGAGGAACACTTGAGCTCAACAGTACAGAGCTTCTCAAGCAGTTTGCTGGAAGCCCAAGGGCTTGCTTGACTTAACTGAGGAACAGAAATCAAAGCAACGCATGCCTCACCCTTGAATCATCTTTTCTCGTGCCTGTGTCTGCCCCAGGGAAGGTGACCAGGGCATCATGGCAGGTTACTAATGGAGTAAATGCCGTGGAATATCAACAAGATCATTTCCTTTGCACACTTGCAGATGAGGTGCTTCAATGTCACATGTGGCCTCTGGTCCCCAAAGAGAGGATGTCGAGCTGTGACACACCACAGAGCAGGGAAAGGAATTGGGCCTAACAGTGGGGACTCGACATAAGGGCCTGATCCTCCAAATCCTCCACATACCGGCATGCTTTCCTCTCAACAGAAATCCAAATAGGACCGGGACAACTGAGAAGCATGTAGCTGGAGAGGCCTCATCCACACGCAGACCGCAGGACACGGCTGAAATGAGAGCTGCAGGCTAGCAGCAGGGCTGCAGGAGAGCGGGGTTACCTGTCTGCCAACAGGCAAGGGAGTCGAGGTTTACATCTGAGGATGACCAGAAGGGTTCTGCCCCGTGTCTTGATGATGCAGCATTTGCTCAAAGGCCGCAGTTACTGATGCGATGCTGCCTTTTGTGGGAAGCGCTGCCCAGTGCCACAGGGCTCGTTCACTGCAGCCAACACAACTCCCTTTCTCTTCCCCAAACATGTTTCTCTGCTTCCTCCTACACCCTTCCCACACCCATCAAACTTCTTAGAACTGATTTTATCTCAGCTTTAAGTATGTGGCATTTATACCGTAACAAGTATCACAGAAATGATGATGCAAACCTCTGAAATTCCAATCTCCAGATTTTCAGTGTTCTGCCATTGCAGGCAGGTCTGCCACTGAGCAGGAGCTCCAAGCATTGGTATGTTGACCTAGCATCTAAAGCAACACTTTAGATATTAAACATTGGCTCGTTAATTATAATTACCGGTTATCTCATACAAACCGTTTGCCACTTCTGCTGACAATCGTCTGTGCCACATTCCAAGCCACATGAAGGTGTATTGTGCAGATAGTGCTGTTTTACCCACGTAGGTGATGAAATAAAACCTGCCTGATGAGACTTTCACCATTGGCACCGCAACTGGCTTGGCCTACTCAGGCACTTCACAGCCATGAACTAACTGAAAATTTGCATCATTGACACTTTACCTGAGGATGCAGCCACTGTCTATATACAGGCCAACATTCAGAAAAATCATAGAATCATAGAATCATAGAATGTTTTGGGTTGGAAGGGACCACTAGAGGTCATCGAGTCCAACCCCCCTGCAGTCAGCAGGGACACCGCCAACTAGATCAGCACAACATATAAAAGCCACCTTGTGACACCTGCTAATCGGCATAAGTTTTAGTACCAGATATTGAACACTTCAAAATTGCAATTTACCCTGGAAGGGAATGACATCAAAGGAAGGACCATGAGTTTGTTAGATCAAAGGTTCCCAGGTGATGCTAGAATATGAAGTTTATGTCACACAGACCAATGCTCAAAAAGCCGTCTCAGCAGCGCACGTGGTAAAACAAAAGGCAAAAGCCACAATTTGTAGCTGGGGAAGTTCGGAGTGGACATTAGAAACTGCTTCTTCATTAGGAGCATAATGCGATACTGGATCCAAGCAGCAGGTTGGACTGCCTTGAGCTCCAGATGTCTTTCCAGCTGACGACCCCATGATAAGTCTGACTCAAGTAAGGAGGGGGATTCCTTTTAACCTCAAAGCTGAGAAGTGATAATTGTCTACATTTTTGTCAGCTTAACAGCACATTTTCAAAAAACATTGACAACCTCCTGCTCCCACTGCTCCCACGGCTTTCTGTGGGCAATACAGAAATGAGACCCAAGGTCTCCTGCATTCATCAGCCAAAAACAAGATGACTCAATCAGTATACTAGCTTTAGAAGACTTCAGATAATTCTTACCTGTGCCTCAGTTTCCTCCCCCACTGATCTTGAAAACAGACAACAGGAAGCATAATTGATGGTTTCAAACCAGGTTTTCAGATCTGAAGATGAAAAGGCACAAATGGAAAAGCAAAGCATTAACTGAAATTTTCATTATTCATTATTGCTCTTAAAGAGCCAAAACTTCCCCAAGCCAGGCTGAGTCTTGCATTGCTGGGTCCTCTGCAAGTACAACAATAAAAGGCAACCCCTGTCTTGAAAATCAGAGAAAATTTGAGGAGCAGCACGTTTCACCATCACGTATTTGCTGTAGCCAGGCAAGGGCTGAGAGCAGGAGAACATGTCTTACTCCTTGGGTAGTTACAACACCCATGCTGCAGGGTAGGAAAGGTTTGCCAAGAAAACATCACAGCTGAGTGAGGTTTTCACATCACGGACCCCACGTCCTGCTTCTCTGGGGCTTCTTCACAACGTCTATGGTGCCATGCAAGGAGCAGCCCAGGAGCAGGCGTAAGCACACTGAGCACCACCACCATGGACCTTCCAACTGTCCTACTGGCTGCTAACGCAGCCGCTTTTTGGAAAACACCAAGCACAAGCTGCCTGCTGGCACTGGCTGACCCCACACATGCCCACAAGGGGAACAGGTCCCCTGACCCGGGGAACTGGGGCTGAACTGCCCAGCACCCCCTTTCCAGCCGGCTCCAGTGCTATGGCTAAACCCGGGCTGAGGACGTGTTTCACACCCACACTGTGGATGGTGGGCGAGGCCCATGCTTGAACCTGCATCCCTAGTAGCACAGACACACCTTCATGAGCAGGGCTTTGCTACAGGGTTTATAGGAATAGATTTGTCTCTGGCCAGGCCTTTCTTGGCTCCCAGAAGCAAGGCAGCGCATTTGGGCCAACGTGGTGGCAAGCAGGATCATCCAGCTCAGAGATTTAGCTGCATGGGCATGCAAGGGCATGGGAACAGGAGCGGTGCCTGCAGGCTGATGGACTGAGCCTATTTTGCAACCACGGGTCAGCTCCCCATAGACTTCCAGTGCCGGTGTCCCCCAGCACCCCACCACGCCAGGGGGTGCAGCCCTGTCCACAGCTGCTGTGGGGCATCGCGTGGCTTGGCCCCCAAGGCCAAAGCGCTCGGGGATGGACACCCTCCAACCCGGCCCTCTGAGCTGCCCCGGTAGGTATGACCACCTTGGGGGGGCCCAAAGATCAGCACCCCCGCCCACCCCACGGCCATCAGTCCCTGGAGGGGCCCCCAAGCCCCTCACCTGCCTCCCCTCACCCTGCCCCACACACACCTCCCGCCCCTCCCTCTCCCACCCACTCCCCATTGGCCAGGCCAGCACCTGCAGCGACCCGATTGGCTCCCTCAGCTGGGGGCACTCCCCAAGGCTGCCCTGTGCCTCAGGGGGTTCTCTGCAGCCCTCCCAGGGATGGAGGGTGGGCTCAGAATCGGCTCCATCCTTGGAGCCCTTGGCTCCTGGCCCTGGGGAGCTCTGAGGCTCCTGCTGAGGGGCTGGGTGCCCCCAGCTGTGCCTGTGGGGCTCTTCCAGCTCCCTGGGAAAGCATGGAGCTGTGTGCTGGGTCTCTGCTGCTTTTCCCTGGCTGTGGCTGGGGGGGTGTTGGCTTTTTGAGGCCACAGGTGACATCTTATGGTGTCATGCTGCATCTGCTGTGCCTTGAGGATGAGCTGAAAGGCTTCAAATCCTTCCCTGAAGGCTTCTCCCTAGCCTTGAGGTGTTGACTTGGTAACACCATGGGTCTCTGATTTGTGACTGAGTAGCTTTGGGTCTGAAAGCTCTTATCTGCTTATTGCCTGGTGAAGATCAAAGCTGCACGAGGGGGTCTGCAGGAGGTGGCTCTCCCACCTGGCCATGCAGGGACAGCGCGTGATGTGCACCCCGGACATCACCACTGATGCTGAGGGAAGCGGTAGGTGCCTCAGGAGGCAGACGGATCAGTCGGGCATTCCCTTCCTGTTGACAGTGCTGCCAGACCTGCCTGTAACTATTTCACATGATCATTTGGTGTAGGCATGATAATAGCGTTAACGAAGGGGGTGGCTTAAGTGACAAGGTAACTTCTCTCTTGCTCAAGAGCACGGTGTCTCTGCAGATGGAGGCTGCAGCCACGCACGGCTCTGCCAGCTTGCTGGAGGAAGCGCTTGGTAAACTAGTTCAGAGTTTCTCAAAACTAACAGGGTTCTTAAACGTGATTGTGATTACCTGAAACTGTGTATGGCCGTGAAGGACTTCAATTAGTAAAGCTGGTTCTGCTGAAACTTCCAGATGAAAATGTATGTTAATGCACGCTGCTTGCTCTGCAAGTTACAGCTTCTGTCTGAAAAATGGTCTGTCCTCATGGAAAAACTGGTAAATGGGAAGTACTAGAAAGCTGAGAAGCTGTTTTAATTAAACCCCCTCCCCTCTTTCCTAAAATATCTCTGACTTCTAGTAGCTTGGCTAGCTCATACTCACTGTCCCAAGGAGTTACTGATCTAGTAATGGCCACTGGCTGTGGTGCTTAAGTTCTGTTGGATGTGTGTGGGTAAAACGCTGCCTCCATCTGCAAAAGTGGCTTTAATCTTTGAGGTTTCCTAATGCTGATGGCTTTTCCAGAAAGGTGAGATGGGCACCTCTGCCAGCAATTCTGAAACTAATGTCCTAATGTCAAAGCTGGAAATGATCTGATCCTCTTAAAACTAAGTCTGCCCTCGGAGCATTTGGGAAGGCCTCCCTCTGTTGTGGGCAGTGCCATTCCCCACTGCAGCAGGCATCCTGTGACCCAGTTCTGCATTTATGGTAACTGGGGTATCTGTGGCAAATCTCGAAAAGAATGTAAATAACTGCTTTAACCACAAATTAACACCTCTGCCCTGATTAGCCTTCCCTACTCTATCTAAAGCACTAAATTTACCTTTGTTTTCCTAAATGGTCATTGAGGAATTGCCAGTTAAGCTACTGAGCCAGGCATGCTGGCTTTGGCTCAATCTGTCTTCCCAAGGTAAAACACGTTTGGAGGGCAGAAAAGCTTCCTGAGCAACAAGCTCCTACCTCTCTGCCTGCAGGATAACCTAACAGCAGGCTGTCTTCATGGGGCAGAGCTGCTTTCCAGAAGAAAAATAAAAACCTTACACAAGTTAAAGAACTACTTTTATGTATGCTGGTTGCTCAGAGTGACAGAAGTCGAGGGAGGTGCTTGCTCCAGCAGGAAAGTACCTGCTCTTCCAGGCACGTTGCACCGGCTGTGACAGCCTGACCGAGGCAGGGCAAACGGATGGCAGCTTGGCAGTTTTGGTGCTGTTGCCCTTGCTGTTTCCCTGAGTTCAGACTTGTCCGAAGTGGGCCATGATCAACAGTTAAGCTATTGTGCCAGGCTAGAAATGTGCACTGAAGAGTTTCATCTTTCTGAACTACCTGTTTCAAGAACTTTCTGCAGCAGTGCCCTAATGTTTCTGACGTAGCAATGGTATGAAGTCATCTGATCATTATTTTCATACAAAGCAAATGGTGATGCTGTTTCTGCTCTTCTGCCTGGTGGTTCCCATGCAAGGTTTCTGCCTGCTGGGACTCCCACTTGCAACTACTCTGGCTTGAAGCTGTGCCTTTCCCCAAAGGATCCTGAAACAACGGACCCAGAGTTGCTAAGCAGTGCAATCTCTGAAGTAAGACAAGGTCTGCTCAGCACTTTTGCAGGGGAGAGACTAGAAAGAGAAAATAAAACCATGCTGTGGGCTCATAAAGACTTGGCCACACTACAAATAGTGGCATTGCAACACACCCCAATTCCTCCTACACAGAGGAGAGCAAACCATGTTTGAACATGACTGTGCTGCAGGGATTGTCACTGATGCAGTTGCATCCATAATTAAGATGGGCTCCTAGTACTTCAGAGGTTGATTCTAACCTTATACTGGTTTTTACATAAGCCAAGGAGTTACTCCTGATGTGTGCTGGCAACGAGAGTCTTCTCCTTTTTTTTTTTTTTTGCTGCAGTGTGTCTCTGTGTGCTAACCCTGACGCCAAGGCCAGTAAGACACTCTGCAGTTTGAGGTTTTTTTCCCACCCATCCAGAAGTAAAATAACTGAGCAAAGGGGTTGTTTGTAATGATGTTGAAATAGTTGTGCTTTGCCCTGTGGCAGGGCTGCAGACTGGTTCAGCCTACTTGGCTTCAAAAAAAAAAAAAAACAACTTGCCCTAAAGCAGTGCAAGAAGAATAACCACTAACTGAGCAAACCCTGTGGGCTTTGGGACTGAGACTTTATGTTCAAGCCCTGCTTTTGTTTGGAGCAGTTTTCTAGAAGTTCTCCCAGGATGATAAATTTCAAGCTGTATTTTTGCTGTGCTGTTAAATTAGGCAGCCCCCTGGGCAGGGTGGCTACCAGGAATGTGCAGAAGAGTGCTGGTTTTGGGCTTCTTGCTTGAGAGGCTGGAGGTCCCAACTGTCAAGGCAACTTCTGCTGTAGACATGTAGCACTCTGCATCCCTGCCTTGCTCAAATCTTACTAAAATGCTGACTAATTGCACGATTAATGCAGCAACATTTGACATCCTGCCGAGATGCCTGCCCTAGCTCTAGCCATCAGCCCAGGGCTAACAAATGCTGGTTTCACTGCTTCTTCCCAGCTCTCTGTTCCTGTTTTCACAGCAAAATAAAAACCTTACACAAGTCAAAGAACATAAGAAACAAGACAATGGTCTCTGTCACAAATCAGATGGCAAGTTTTTTGGGATAGAGTCTGCCAGTGAGCCTGGAGCAGTGCCTGGCTTGGGAATCCAGGCTGTGAGGAATTTTGGTTTGCGGAGTTTCCATTGGAAAATGCCATAACAATTCTAAGAATAGGAATTAACTGGCAAGGGGGAGAAAAGTGGATGCTGCACTGAAGAACAAATATCCTAAAGTCCTTGCTGTGCCTGACTAAGGCTGAAGTAATCCTGGGTTTATCACACGATACTGGAGTGTCCAGATACCAATCTAGGCCTAGGCTAGGGAAGCCAATACACATTCAAGATATTGCATAACTTTTATATTTTAACTTCTTTAATCCCATTATGTAATGAGAATACTTCCGAGGCTCGGTTTCATAGGAAGTGAGGAGAGATTTCCTGCTGGTCAGTAGGATGGGGAAGGCAAGTTTCAAGATAGCCAGAGAATGCTGCAGCTGTGAAACCTGGCTCACTCTTCTAGGATAACTTTGAAGGATTTTCATATCCTTCCTAAAGCTATGAGGCTGCCAGCGTTCCTGGAGTTGGCAGTGGTGGGGAAGTTGATAAAAGTTCCCCACTCTGAACACGGGCATAGTGGGACTACTCTAAGATGACTCTCATCTCAATGTCCTTTGCGAGCCTTCAGAGGAAAGGGGCTATGAACACCGAACACTTTCTAAGAAGATAAAATACACCTATTGCTGCTTCAGCATCTCTGACACCTTCCTGGAGGGGAGTGAAGTCCTGCCAGGCTTTTTTTTTTTTTTCCAAAGAGGGAAATGGATTAAGCTGTTGCAAAACCCATCTCTACTTCATCAAAGTGGGGGAAATCTGAGGGCTTTTCCCCTTTAAAGGGTATTAAGCAAGTTCAGACATTTTTTCCAAAATAAATATTTCTGTTCTTAAACCCTGTTATTAAGCTGTTTGAGCTTGCCACATTTTGAAAATTAAAACTAAAATTATGTATGCTACTGTCCTAACATGCCCTGCTGCAGCTGCATTTCAGTAATCTGTCACGATCAAGTGAGACAATGTTCAGCAATTCCCACCATTAGCCCCATTTCTGCAGGGTGCACCTCTCCTTCAAGCATTCCAGTCCTTGGCCAGCAAAGAGCCTCTGCAGTGGAAAGCTGAACCAGAAGTATCTCTAGCAGAGAAAATGTATGTCAGATAAGATACTTCCCACCTGCTTCTAACCTGCAACTTTGAAGCCAGTCAAATGTTACCAGCAATGAAATAAGTAGGATGGTTATTTAGTTTAAAGTATTTGGCTGTTTGGGGATTGAGGGAGGTGACTGAGTATCGTCCTTGTGCTACATAAATATTTATGTACATCAGAAATCATGGAGCCTCTCAAATATCTTTGCACCCTTGCAAGAAAGACTGGTAATGCCACACTAAAGTTCCTAGGATGTGCTGAATGATGGATCCCAACTTTGCCCTCTGCTTTTCACCGGTTTTACTAAGCCTTCAATTCACTGAAGGAAATTAAGTTGTACTTGTGCTGTTATACTCTTGTTTTTCTTTTCAGCTGCAGCTGAATTCAGTATGGCATCAGAAAAGACCACAAAAAAAGATCTGCTAAAGGCTGAGGAACAGCAGCAGGCGGTAGGTATCAGGGCAGCTCGTACTCCAACAGGCAGCAAACTACCTGCTGACAGACGTGCTGATAAACTAACTTCTGCCAGCACTTCACCACCAGGCTGGGAGCAGCAGAAAGATTAACCATATGAAGCCGTGGCTAAATCTAATCTCAGTTAATGCAGAAGCTAACTTTTTTTGCTCAAGAGAACTTCAGGGCTGGCTCAAATAATGCAAGTATTTCTGAAACATGAGCTGTTACAGGTCCTATTTCCACATCGGGGTTTGCTGAAACCCAGTGTGACTCAGAACTGATGAGCCCAGAGCTCATCCTGGTTTGTTGCTGACTTCCTAGCGGTCTTTAGATGAGTCCCTTCAACTCTGAGTTTAAGAAGGATGAAGAGATGGTCTGGATGTCCCCTTAGGACCTTTCTGGATAGACACATGGCTTGTATTCACTCACCAGCTTGAGGCTGAGCCTCTAATGTCACTTCTTTCTCTTGGCTTTTAGAGTGCTGTTAATCGGGTAACCAGCTTGCCCTTGTTCAACTCTGCATTCAACCTGGTCTCATCTGCCTACAACTATACCAAGGAGACTCATCCTTACCTCAGTGGTGTCTGCAGTGTGGCTGAGACTGTGGCTGCTGTCACAGTAGGTAGCGTGGTTGGTGGGGCACAGCCCATCCTGAACCAACTTGAGCCACAAAGTAAGTGAAGGGGCTGGAGTGACCCTTTCTACACAGAGAAATAGGTGGGGAGGGGAGTTTCACAGGCCTCTTGGGTGATACCCATCTCCTATAGCACATTGTCCCAGTTAATTATAGCACTGAGTCTTCCACTCAGCAGCTCCCAGCTGCCCAAGGAACCCACTGAATTTCGCAGACATGAAACTGTTGCTAGCAGAAACAAACTTTGGCTTCTTGTCTGTGGTTTCATTAAGTCACTAAGCAAAAATTCCCTGCTTTTTCTCTACCACTCCAAGTTATGAGCATCCCAACTGGTGGCAGCAGTGTCCATCTTGGATATAGCTCAGTCCGTCTCATCCCAACACTTTTCAACCTTTTAAACCAATTGCCATACCCACCAGGGGCAAGTATTACATGGAGCAACATGCTGCCAGTAGCTAGAAAGCTGGGAAGGCAAATGGAGACTGAACCTGCCAAATTGTAGGGCCTGTTCACTTTTTAACAAGACATCCCCCGCCACACACACCCCCACCCCAGAATAGTGATTTGGGTTTTTTGCTTGCTTTCATGAGTGCATCCTGATTTGGCCATTGTAGGGTCAAAAACCCCTCTCCAAACTGAAGAATAAACTGGTACCTGTTGTCTTGTCTAGTTGCACTTGTAAATGAATATGCCTGTAAAGGACTGGATCAACTGGAGGAGAGCTTGCCTTTTCTTCAACAGCCAGCAGATAAGGTAAAGTAAAGGCTTTTCCTGGGGAAGCCAGGACTTGACCTCTTGCTTGATGGAACTGTGATAGAACAGAAAAATACGGGGAAATAAACTTTAGCAGCACTGCTTTGTCATGTCAGTCTCTGGTTTGGGCTAGAGGAGGCTATGTGATGAAAGCTGGAGAGATGCCTTCAGCATGTGGAAGTGAACATGTCCATGTAAATACAGGTCTACTGACTTCCCTGGCTCTCCCACAAGACTGCAAGCGCAATTTAGCTACAGGGACAAGCTACTTCAGGGAGGGAAAACCTATTTCAGAAAAAAATGTATCTTTCTCTGCTTCTCCCTATTGTAGGTAATCTCAGACACCAAGCAGCTGGTTTCCACCAAAGTGACATCTGCTATGGATGCTGCTTGTGAGGCAAAGGAAGCGATGGCTGATAAAGTGACTGAAGCTGTGGACCTCACTAAAAATGTTGTTGGGGACAGTGTCAAGCTGACGAGGTCAATGGTAACCTCCACTGTTAACAGTGCTGTGGAGGCTGCCCAGGGTGCCAAGGACCTTGTGACCAACAAGGTGACAGAGGCAGTGGATCTCACTAAACACATGGTGGAGGACAGTGTTGGACGGACCAAGTCTGCAGTTGCTTCTACGATTGTCAATGCTGTAGAAGCTGCCCAAGGTGCAAAGGACCTTGTGACCAACAAGGTGACTGAAGCTGTGGACCTCAGTAAACATATTGTGGAGGATAGCATTGGACTGACCAAGTCTGCAGTTGCTTCTACGATTGTCAATGCTGTAGAAGCTGCCCAAGGTGCAAAGGACCTTGTGACCAACAAGGTGACTGAAGCTGTGGACCTCAGTAAACACATTGTAGAGGATAGTGTTGGACTGACCAAGTCCGCAGTTGCTTCTACTATTGTCAGTGCTGTGGAAGCTGCCCAAGGTGCCAAGGACCTTATGACCAATAAGGTGACTGAAGCTGTGGATCTCACTAAACACATTGTGGAAGACAGTGTTGGACTGACCAAGTCTGCAGTTGCTTCTACTATTACTGCTGCTGTAGGGGCTGCCCAGGGTGCAAAGGATCTTGTGACCAACACAGTGAGTGAAGCAATGGACCTAACCAAAGGGGCTGTTCAGGATGGTGTTGAGAAAACCAAATCAATGGTCACTTCTACGGTCAATACAGCTCTGGATGCTGCATATGGCACCATAACTAGCAAAATAAACACAGCCTTGGAGCAGAGCAGAGAGGCTATCCAGGAGGGTGTGGAGATGACCAATTCAGTGGTGACCAACAGCATTAGCAAAGCCAAAGCAGTGAGCCAAGCAGTGGCAGGTGGCGTGGAATCTGTGCTGGGTATATCAGAAGATCTCGTGGATCACTACCTCCCAATGACAGAAGAGGAACTAGGTGAGAAAATGCTTGGCTGGCGGTTGTAAACACAAACCCCTTTCCCATGTGACTAGAGAGCACCTGATGCTGCAAGACACATCTTCTGGAGTAGATGGGTAGCTCTGAATTTGTCACCAAGTTGCCATTTGTCAACACTGACTTGCCACATGGTATGGGACAGAGTTCAAGCATTTGCTAGCTGGTTGATGCCCATCAGCCTCAAGGCAAATAAACACGCGGGTGCATGCTTCAACCTGTCAAGTCTGCTTATTTGAAGTGAAGATGTTGAGGAGGGACTAAGCCTACCTTTAATACCTGAGCAACTACAAACATCTACTGTTTACACAACAAGCTTCAGCCTTCATGCTTTTCAATCTTACCTCTTCTCCCTGCTTTGGGCTGGGGGAGCGGAGCACAGCTGCATCTCTGTTCTTGTTTCCTCCAGGTAAACTGGCCACTGCTGTGGAGGGATTTGGTATGGCTTCTGTAGAGGAGCAGAAACAGGAACACAGTTACTTCGTGCGTCTGGGTTCCCTCTCCAACAAAGTCCGCCATCGAGCCTACCAGCACTCCCTGAACAAACTGCAACGCATTAAGCAAAGCACCCAGGATACTCTCTCACGACTACAGCTGGCAGTAAAACTGGTACAAACACGCTTTTTGCTTTTTCCTCCTGTCTGTAGTCTTCCTGCCCTACTATCCAGATGGAAGCTCTTCCTCTATCCTGCACCAGCTGCATGTCATCTTGGATACCTCCCTAGGAGGGAACCACTCATGCTTGTGTGTGTGTGCTTGCAATACAGCTGTTCCTTTCATTTTTTTTCCCCATCAGATTGAATCTGTGAAACAAGAGGTTGGCCAGAAGGCTCTGGATGTGCAGGAGAAGCTCTATCAGCTGTGGGTGGACTGGAGCCTGACCCAACCCAAGGGAAACCAAGTTAAAACTGCCTCCTATACAGAGGTATCCCTAGAAGGGCGTATTTAATCCAGCCTCTGGTGGATGGTGTACATCTCATCTGCTCTAGTAACTGAGCTATATCTCTTTCCCAGCAGGTAGAGTCACGGACTCTAGCTATGCTGCGTATCATCACCCAGCAGCTACAACCTGTTTATGAGAATCTGAAAGCCAGCATCCAAGGCCTCCCCAGCAACATCCAAGAAGCTGTGTACCAGGCCACTCGAAATATCCATAAGCTCCATAGTTTTTTTTCCAGTGCTGTGTCTTTCCAGGACCTTTCCAGCACCACCCTGACCCAGAGCCAGGACTGTGTGGCAGAAGCCCAACGGTCCCTAGATGACCTGTTTGAGTATGTAACTCAGAACACCCCTCTGAACTGGCTTGTGGGTCCCTTCAGGGCAATAGCTAAAGTCTCACAGGATAGCAGAAAGCAGAAGAAGAAACATATTGTGACTGATATAAAATCACCTGTGTTGGGAAAGGCTACATCATTGAAGGAGGTGGCTAAGACACCTGAAGAACCAAAGGGAGCAAACATGATCCTAGGGGAAGGGTGTGAAGAACCAAAGGGAGCCAACATGATCCTGGGGGGGGAAGGGTGTGAAGAACCAAAGGGAGCCAACATGATCCTGGGGGGAGGGGGTGAAGAACCAAAGAGAGCAAACATGATC